CCTTGGCCTCGGGTTGCCAGTCCTTGGACACATCCCTGACACACACACACACACACACACACACACACACGCGCACACACACACACACACAAACAGTGTTGTAAACAGAACACTGATCTAGGCAAACACTTGATTCAACACTGATCAAAGAGTAACCCACGTGATAAGACAGAAAGGGAGGGTGCTGGGCGGGGCTGAGAAGATGCACCGCCAATCAACATGGCTGTGCATCATGGAATAGATCCACTCGTGCTGTCATTGGTCAACGTCGGCGCTGGGAACCAATCAAGTTACAGCCATGCACAAAACCTCTGAGTCATTCGGCATTTTTTTCTGAATACAGTACTTTGGGGAAAAAAAACGCGATGCACCTAGGCCGCGATAATCAAAGCGCGAAATAGCGAGGGCTCACTGTAATACTTTCATTGTTAAAATAAGTTTTTTTCACATTTTCAGCTTATGGTATGCGCGGGAAGAAACATGCCTTGGCTCGAAAAAGACTGAAAAACACTGGCTTAAGACAGGCCAGCGGAACCAAGCCTTTTTACATGGAGATGAACCCTTCTTGTATGTGAGGTGAAATGTCTTCTAAGAGAAAGACAATACTCCAATTGCAATTGAAAGTTTAGTCTACCCTAATCAACAAGCCTTGTTGCATGAACTGATGAAGCCTTCTCGGGCAAGTCTTTCATGACAAACAGAGCAGACAAGTTGGGATTGATTTAGTGTCCTGAAAGAAATTACCTAGATGAAAGAGAATGTTTGTGTATTAACATCATGAAGGCCGAAACACTCGGGAAATATGATGTCAATCTGATTAAAACACTACAAGAAAAACATCAAAGGATGAAACATATTTTCTTCAGCCAGTAGGTGGTGCTGGCAACACGAAGAAAAATATGTTCAGAGATGTCCGAAAGCCTACGCGCACATCAAATGTGTTAAATTTTGATAATACATTATCATATGGGTCAGGTTACAGCAGCTTTTGTTGTCATGGTGAAAAGAATCGTGGCATAGGAAAGGCTTTGCCCTCTGCGGATAAATCACAAACTTTTTCATCAAGCATGATCGTGTTGAGGCGTAAATAAATAAAATATAGATTTTGCCAGGCTTGATGTGTGTTCATGAGTTTTCGTACATGTTTAGGCCCTGAAAATCATTGTGGTTTTCATGGCAAACAGCTGATTGCCAAGACAAGAGCATTTCACGAAAACAGACAAATTCCGTGTTTTGACATCATCAAGGCCTAAACAATCTTCTGAGCAAATATAAAGTAGACGTGGTTCACCCACAAGGCAAAAACAGCAAATATTAACACATATATTTTCTTTCGCTAGTAGGTGGTGCTAACACTACAATAAAAAATTAACTTGGGAGTCGACTTCAGGCCTGGACTCTCATGAAATCAAATTTTGAAAGAATAGGATTGTATCCATTAAGTTACGGCAGTTTTTGTTGTGACAGCAAATCATCCGATTTCTGGTGCCATAAAAGCCACGTCTTCTGTTGAAAAGTCACAATATTGGGTCGAACACATGATCAATGCATTCAAGTTTTTCTGACAAATATTCAACTTGATCCGTTGAATGAGCTCAGCGATGTACTGTACATAAAAATGTAAAAAAACAAAACCGTATTTCTTGTTTTCACTACATGGCTCTACATGTATAACAAAATATTCCAAAGATGTCTTCGGGTGACTCGAGATATACATTGTCGTTTTTTTTTTTTTGTTTTTTTTTAGCATGTTCCGAGGAGTTAGTAAACATTTCCTGAAACCCCCAAAATGATATGAAAGCAGTTGTTGTCAAAATGTGTTTGATATGTCCAAGATTTATGGCTTCATGGTTTTATGACATCTGTCCAGAAGTCCTTAAGTCATAAACACGGTCGGGGGTGTCTAGGAGGGGGATATTCAGTCTACTGTATAGTCCAAGATGTCAAAGGTCAACTATGTGTCCGGCAGGAGCTCATAAACCACTGTTTGGTGGTATAAAGAGAAAACACGAAAGGAGGTTTTAAATGCAAAATAAATAAAGCAGAGTATGTGTTTTTCCCTTTACATGTGTAGTTAATTTCTTCCCATGAGAAGAAGTTGTGGCAGAAAGACTGAGGCTTCCTGATGATAGGGTAGCTACCACCTGTTCACAAAAGGCCCTTGATGGAAATGACTGGAGAGAAGGGTAGGTTGGTTGTAAAAAGGCAAAATGTCGCACAAGGCTTTTAATTCAAATGGCTATTGTCATAAAGGGGAAAGAAATTATCAGAGGAGGTTTTAAGCGAATAAAGCACAGTAAATGTTTCTTCTGAGAGAACCAGTAAGCGCTCTTATCTTTAAAGCTATAAATCTTTGACACATCAAAGACATTTTGAAAACTACAACCTTGTATTATTCTCCTCTTTCATCTCAAACTGCTTTAAACAACAAAGTGTATGAGAGAAAAGTAGTTAGGACTGCACGACTGTCCGAGTTTTATGTTATGTGTTGTGTTTATTATTTTACTTTATGTTAACTGTTTTGTTAAGCGCTTTGTTAAAGCTGCCACTGTTGTGAAAGCGCCATATAAATCAGCATGTATTGTATTGTATTCTTACCTTTTTTTATGCAGAATTTGTCAAGTGTACTGCCGTTTCTGTGTGTGTGTGTGTGTGTGTGTGTGTGTGTGTGTGTGTGTGTGTGTGTGTGTGTGTGTGTGTGTGTGTGTGT